CCCAGTGTTCGGCTTTGGGCCTGCCCTTTGCTGGGTTTTGTTCTCTTTAAACTAATGGGCGTGCCGGCCGGTGTGGCTCAGTGGCTGAGCGTTGACCCATGAACCAAGAGGTCGCTGGTCAGGGCACATGCCCGGGGTGTGGGTCCATCCCCAGTCGGGGGGTGCAGGAGGCAGCCAATTGATGTTTCTCTCTCTCCCCCTCTCCCTTCCTCTCTCTGAAATCAATAAAAACATTTAAAAAAAATAAAAATAAACCAGTGAGCGCAACCGAGAAGCGCCATTAACATCAACACGGCAGCGTCGTGACACCTAATTTTTTTTTTGAAATTTTTATGAATCCTTGAGTCAAACATGGGTGTCTCTTATTTGCTCTGTCTCTGAAACGTGCCCCTGACGGACGGCCAGAGCTCTCCTTCGTTTCCATCCTGCCTGCTCCCTGTGTAAGCTCAGGGCGCCGGGGACCCGTAGGCCGAGCCTTCTCCATTTTACAGCCACGTGGCCGTAAGAAGCGTGGTCGGGCCACGCCCGTGGTCCCTCTTATTTTTTGCCCTCCGGGTCATTTGCTTAGCGCGACTGGCACATTTCACGTGTCATCGGCACCGTGGGGCAGTGTCAGCGTATCTCGGAGAGAACCAGAGGAAAGTGATGTTGTGCTTCGTGGGTGATTGAATGAGGATTTACTTTGGGACCTTCAGCTGCAGGACAGCTGCTGTTTGAAAACCTCTCATTTGGTTGTACGAACCCAGGGGCCCCCAAGTCTTTGAACATGAGGCTCCATCCCAGAGTCCCGCTGGCCCACCTGTGCTTGGAGCAGGAGGGATCCACCATGACGTGCGTCTGCACGTCTTGCGGCAGAGTGCCTGCTGCCTCGGTGCTGCCCTCCTCCTGGCCAAGGTCAGGCCAAGGTCAGGCCAAGGTCAGGCGTGCTCTAGGACAGGGACCACGTTACCCCCTCGCCCTCTCCCCAGCTCCCCTTGCTCCCCATGACACGGGGAGATGAAGGCCGTTAAGAGTTCCCGATAAAAAGGAGAAGCCGTAGCTCCTGGTGGTCAGCCTGAGGACAGTCTATGCCGTCCGGCCTCCAGGTCAACCCAGTGCATCCTCTGGCTTTATTGAGACGTCTCCTCATTTTCAGCTGCACCAGCAGCGCTTCTCAAATGTGTGCATCGTATTTTCTTACAAGGTGCGCGTTCCCCGGTTGAGTTTGGAACTTGAAACCCAAGGTCAAGGCCAGCCGCGGGCGATTTGGGAATGTCTGGCCCTCGCTCAGCTTCCTGGGGCGGCCTTTCCCTGGCAAATGCTGGCGTCGCCAATATCGAGGCGCTTCTCGTCCCAGCCCCCCCCACTGGGGGTCGGGGTGCGGGGAGGGCGGACACAGCCTCCTCTCCCGAACCGGTCGCTCGGCATAGGCGTGAAGACCACCCGGCCTGAATCTGAAGTCCTTGGGCAGGCCCGCGTCTTGATCCCTCAGGTGACCGGCGCACAAATGGCTCTCTGGAAACCCGTGACCCTTCCCTCCACTCCCTGATGGGCCTTCCAGGCACATCGGGATCTGAGGCTTGTAGAAGGTAGGGGGCCCCGAGGCAGGTTGGGAAGAAGTATTTTGGGGTAGGCAGTGGAGCTTTTTGCTGCCTTGTAAATTATACTGTGCGGGGAGGGCCTGGTTCTTCTTAGGAAAAAAATTGGATGTGAGATTATTTTTGAGGCATAGAATGGGAATACTTTTAGCTGGAGACATATAATCGTGTGGATGGGTAAGCGGGGATAGAGGGAACAAATACAATAAACTGTCCTTCCAACGGGATTTGATAAATACGGGTTTTCTTCGTGAACGCAGAGATGGATTTAAAGAAANAGGTTTTCTTCATGAACGCAGAGATGGATTTAAAGAAAGGGAAAGATGAAAGACCCGCAAGGTTTCAACGATTAAGTAGGAAACGAGAATGTTTCTTTTCCCTTCGAAACACTGTATCCATGAGAAGCGCCGGTGAGGCAACAATGAACCACGCCCCCCGCAAGGCCTTCCCTCAGCCACTCACTCTCCCAGTTCCAGCGAGCGAGCGAGGGCGTTGTGCCTGCGGCGGGGCAGCGACGAGGCCACTTGGTGCCGTTGCGGAGCCGCCTTATTACTCATCCCTGGGGTGCCGCGGCGACGGGCATTCAGCAGGAACACGGCGGAAAGGCCCCGATCTGAGGGCGTGTAGGAGCCGAGTGCATTTGGTGCCACCCGGGCAGCCGGGGGGCTCTCTCCTCTGTGGGTCACTCCCACCCCTCCTGCCCCGATGTGCACGGCGGGCAGCGAACAAGACCCCCTGGGTCAGGGCATCTCTGCTTCTAAAGCGATGCTCTTCTGAGGCATCTTTAATTGTCATGTTCCTACGGGTGGTTCCCTCATAGGGCCAACTCTGCCTGCTCGATACCAAGCCTGCATTTTCTTTTTTTTTTTAAATGTACTGTTACAGCAACATTGTATCATGACCCCATTAAAAGGTAGCTACTTAAAAAGGAAACAATCTAACCTCATCCTGCTTCCCAGACTCCACATACCCATCTCCTCACCCTCCGGGCTCCCT